AACCATGCACCTAGACCTAGTGTCAGATTGTGGCAAGTTCCACGTAGGGCCTACACCTTGAATTGCTTTTCGAATCTTCTCAAGTTCCGTCAGCAAATTTCGGGCCAACATTTTCTTACATTTTCTGGCTATAGGTATACTGCCTCTTGTTGTGTGTTGACACATTCGCTATCGCATCCCCTTTCCACATCGTCTTGCGACCTCTCAACACGAAGAGGGGTTCGGACGTAAATTTCCCGTCTCCTAAGGAAGAAGTAGGCCTACTGAGGAAGATATATCTTCGCGATTTCAACGTCGTCCCCACTGTTTACGTCAACAGATTATGCGTCATAATGTTACGAGATGTTTTACAGTAAACAATAAGACAAAGATTTACGGTAGTACCATGTGAGAAATCTCTCTTGTTTTATGGGAAACATCTGGTGCTGGGCTCAAATCCGTTACGAAAAATCCGCATTTGCTAATACAGGCCAGGGGACGATTTCTAACCGTAGCTCCTCTCGACGATATACAATTATGTCTGTCTGTCTGCCATGATTGCAAATTTGGCAGGGAGAATGTACGGCTCGTGGGCTCTGGTGACGCAGCGTACATAATGCGCAGCGACGTGATGAGGGTATAATTTGCAATGAGTATATCGATCCTTTGAGATAGGGCCATATTCAGTTTCAAACAATTGGTTTAGGTAAGGTCGGGGCTCTTAATAACGTACCCACGCGGAATCCAAACTTTTATATTTGTAAAGCCCTCATGACAGAAGTTAAAAGAGATTACAACACGGGCCTAATTAACGTTTATAGTTGACATTAAAAATCATAAGTTTTGTTTCCGAAACTTTTTTTCGTATCGCAGGAAAGGACAGTATTGTGCGTTTGATGAATAGTCGCCAGACTGAATCAAATAATCGGAGAAGTTCCCGGAAAAAATAAAAACAGAGAATAGTAACAAATCAACACAGTCAATTGATATCCCAGCGTGTATGGTAACGCATTTATGCGTTTCCGCCACAGCGAGTGGGAATACCAGGCAGGTTTCCTGTGACAAATTCCTGCCTTCCCTCGAGACTAGCAGGAAAGAATGCGTTGTGTGACTTGTGTCCAGTCTATAGGTGTTCCAGTGGGGCCACTCTAGGCGTAAAACAGTTTCTTGTTCCGGTGATAACCGGATCTGCCTGACCTTTGCTACTGTCGAAAATGTTTAATCAACGTGCGTACAAACACGGAGCCAAGCCGACCAAAAGAGAAGAAACCGAATGAATAGAACTTAAGGGCATTACATAGACCTACAAGAAGAAACAATAATTAGGTCGGAGTGCGATTCTTTGCAAAGGTTACCCGCTATACAAGACAATAATTATTAGCCATAATAAATATTTTCACTTGTGTCTTAACTACAATAGGTTTACATTAACTGTTAAACCCGGTATTCGTGGTTTTGGTGTATAGTTGTGCACCTGAAATCACTTTCCAATCCAACCCCACCCCTCATCCATTAATTCCCCACCCCTGCTCCACCCCGGTACGATGTGATCTTCAGTGACTGTCTTTCACAGGTTTAGTCACTCGTTTTTACCAATGAAGCCATAATAGAGAGTTTTATGCTGATGCAGTTCGGTGAAAGTGTGAATGTCACCGTAGAATGAAGTCATTTGTGTCAAGGGACTGCGCGTCATTCTGAGTAACGCGTTCGACGAGTTGTAGTAGAAAGTGGCGTCTTAATTTGTTCAACTTGCACAAGCTCCAGACATCTTGGAAGATTGATACTTTTTTCCCAAAAGGTTACGGGATAGTTAATAGAAGGGGCCTTTTTTGGAGACTTTGTTCTTCAGTTTAGAGTTCATCATGATAACCCCCTCCTTGTCTGATTTTTCATATTGTCACCTTAGATGTCTTTATATGGGCGACCAATATTATTTCGATGATTCTTGTCCAACCCTCTGCTTGGGTCATTATCGGCGGTCGAGCCCCTTACCGGTATTACAAAAAAAACCTGGTCCTTCACACTAGTATCCCCTCAATAAAAATCTTAAAATTACCACAGCAAACTGAACATCATAAAACATTAGAAAGTCTACATAGGCCTCTAACACTTTACACAAAGTATATCACACATTACGCGACAACCACAATGCACATCCACCCAATCCCATTATCTGGAAAATGAGTTCTTGTTCGTCTTATGGCTAATGGAAGAAATCATTCCAACATTAGGCCTAAGTCTTTGCCAAAGATAAAATTCCGTCGATGAATGAAGGTCGACCGGGTCCAGTACGGGATATCGTCGGGCTACTGAGGACATCCGTGTTGGCTAAGACCCCGGTACGTTTCGAGCTCGGAAACACGGACCGACCTACCTCCGCTCCTCGGTACCATCCAAGGACATCGTTACAATATCGGAAATAATCGGTTTGGTAAAGTTGTTTATTTCGAAGCTCTATTGCGTATCCTGGTGCACGCAGAAAAGTGCCGTAGAAAGTGGTCGTTCTTTGATGCTAGCATTTAGTGGTTAGATTTCGAACAATTTGGGTGACAAAATTCTGATATTATGACGAAAGTTCAAGAAGGGGTTTCTGAGGGGAAAATTGATCGTTTCTGATGTTTCTGGACTACTTTAAGGCCTATATTTTTATTTTTTCAAAGGGAAGTGGATATAATTAACAACTGGTACCATCCTATATATGCTATTATGTCTAGTAAAAAGGAAATAATTGTCTTCTGGAATGTTTGCTTAGCGGTTTCCCTACTGGTGACCATATATCCTGGTTTCGCGGTTTAAAGGTAATTAAAAATGGACGTCTTGGCAACCAAAATATTTGTCTTGGGATACAAAACAGTCTTAAGAATGTGAAGGTTGCACCAAAATCATCAAGGGACCCTGTCTACGATTACGTTGATTGAACTTTAAGTGTAATCTAAAATTGTGTCTAGACTTTTTGGGCGTTTATTATTGTTTTGGTAGTTTAGAATTTAATTTAGTTCCACCCATTAAGTTATTGATAGGAATAATTGGCCTTTCTTCGCTGACTCTGTTTTGATTGTGTCTCTGTTCTTGTTTATGTGGCGGTTGTTTGGTTGTGTCCCGTGTTTTATATCCACAGAATTTGAAAGTTTGGCGAGTGTAAAAAAAATAAGCGATTGTTTTGGGATTTTACCATTAACAGGAATTGAATACATTGTTTTTGTTACTTTGTGGTTGAATCACCTAACACAATTATTCGTAAGAATTTAGGTGAAAGTCGTGAATATTAATGTGGAAAACAATACTGATCGAAATGGATATCGTAGCAATAGTTAAACAAAATCATAATCAGTCTGTATGCATCGATAGGTTAGTCACAACTTTCATGCCAATAGACGTGAAAATGAAACAGGGTTTCAGTTTTAGAGTGAGGTTAATTGGTTATGATATGTCTATCCTAACAGGTGGATAAATCATTAATTAGCAGACTAACTATATCTTCTCAACCTTGCTGGTTCGTCAAGGCAATGTGGTGGCCAGACGCCGTCTGGCCTATATTTTGCGGCTACCCGGTATTTGTCCGGCCAGAGGAATGTGGAGTGGTCAGCCTAGGTGACCACAACTTGACCTAACAAAAGGCTAACTCCGGCCACGTTGTCAAAGCAAATATAAACTTAGAGCTTCTAGTTTCTGGAAAACAGGAATGTTTTAAAAAACAAAGGTGGTGAATGATTTGCAAATTTGACTGAAATGAGGTGTCGGCCAAGGGTTATGATAATTATGATTTGACGAAGGAGGAGTTGGCCAGTTGCATGGAGTCAAGGGAGGTGTGGCGCGTCAGGCATCGTTCCCGCCTCAAGACGGCCTCACGGCAACGTCTCGAGCCGACTTGACATATACGTCCAAGTATGTCATGTTCTTTGTTGTTGGTTTTAGAAACAATGTCAAACTGAACATGTGACACATACCTCTGCACTAACATAGTTTACGTTCTTATAGCAAGAAATATTTCCTAGTGTGTTGTAAATGGGGGGGGGGGGGAAATGTCCCCCCCCCCTTAAAAAAAACCCTCAAAAGCATAAAAAATGTCAAATCCGGGAAATATAATGTTCAAATCTAACTTTTGGAATCCGATCCATAAAAATGCTTTCCTTTGAGAAAAGTGTATAAATTCTCCCTCCCCGCCCCAAACAATAACTGCTTTCGATAACCTTAATTTAAAGGGGGGTATTTTTCAATCGTTCCCTAGCTCATATGTTCTTTTAAAACAGTTTCTTAAAAAGTGTATTAAAGCAGACATTTTATCTGACTCTTGTGCCGGTCATTTCTTTGTAATGCAAATGATCGCACAAGTGTTTCAACCTCGTCATCTGAATTCTGTCTCGAAGAAACCATTGACCGAGATTTTCAAATATGCACGCGAGAACATATAAATACCTTCAAGTTCAAGAGGTGCTTGAAGAAAGCATTTATGCCCCGAAGGTCTTTGGATAGCAGTTCGCCTCCCTTCTAGTTTCGAACCTTGAATTGTTTCTTGATTTAACTAGTTTAGTCATGTAGGGATAAGAAATGACTCAAGTGGCTGATTGGTGTAAGACGGTTATCTCAATAAGACGTCTGTCCTTGACTTGAACTGCCAAACTGCGGTATTGAGAAGTAACTCATCGCATTAGGTTGTTAACCTCTCTGACCCCGCGGGGATTATTTTGTCAGATGCCTGGAAATGTATTTTTGGAAACTTCCCACTGCCTTATAAGGGCTTCCCGTACTGGTACGTGACTGCGGTCCACTAGGATTTGTGTTGAATGGGTGTTTGGTAGTTCCAGGCCCACTTGTCTGGACAGCTTGTGGTTGGCTGCTTGCTGAGTTATGTCTATGCATTATGCAGCAGACTTCTAGTTCGTCATGGCGTCCGGCTGATACGATTGGCTCTTCGCCCCACAGTCGCGCCAACTTCCGTCGCGTCATCAGCTTTCTCGTCTCCCAGTTGGTTCCTCGAAACTAATTCGATATTCATAAGCCCACTCGTCAGTTACTATGGAATGCGGCTGCACGAGGCCTTGACAACGGACCAGACGACCAGAAAATTCAAGTGGAGAGAAAAGTGATATGTTTTGTCGGGCTCAAACACCTACGTAAATAATAAACAGTCTTCCGGTGGTTATGATCATAACTTTTGCTGGGCAGGTGGTCTGGAGTGGTCACTGGCAAAGGGTATATAAGGCTTCGGTGGTGACAGGTAAGGGCAGAACAAGCGTAGACACCAAACAGTGCAAACTGAAGTGACAGTGAGACTAAAACACTCAAGAATATAAAACACTCGCCATATCATAGTGACAACTTGACAACGTGCAGCATTTTTTGAAAAGTAAAAAGAATTGTCATTTGCAGCGGTTCAAAGCCACCACCATGAGGCGTGTTTTGCTTCTTGTCGTCTGCTTAGCAAGCTCGTTCATCGAGCCTGCAGTCAGCAGGAATGTTGGACATTACAAAGGAGGCTCCATCACATGGAAAGCAGACGAGGACAACCCGAGTAACGTAAGTAATTCAAATTTTGGTGCACGAAACTGATCAAGTTTGCTGACTTGATGACTACCAGTACCACAGTGTAAAGTTTACCTTCGATGATTGAACACGGCAGTACAAATGCTCACTGCAGTTTTTTTTGTTTTCTCCATCCAGGTGGTCGTATTTTACCGTCTCAACTTCAGACACCATTACGAGAACGGCTACCTCCACACGCAATGCACCGACCAGGCTGTCCAGGACAGGTCGGTGCTGAACACCGAGGGATCGTTCCGAGTTGACGGCCGGTGGATCTCTTGGGCCAAGTACATATGCACGGACTATGACGATGAAATGGACTGGTCGGCTGGATACTTCATCATGCCGTACACGCTGGAGCCGGGTCAAACTAGAGTCGATGTCAAGTAAGAGAAGATCCCCAAGTTTGTCCTGAATTTCATTTGGTCAAAACTTGTATCCGTTGTTTTCTAGCAGTTGAATTATTTCATTCGAAGTCATCAGATATAATCAGTGTTGAAGTCGAATCCATCACAAGTCCTCACAAGTCCTCACAAGTACTCCAGTCTAGAGGAAAGTCACAAGCTCTATTCAAATGACTGTGACAAAAATATTTCCAAGTTATTGCTCTCCCCGTATTACTTTTATAATATTTAGTGACCCGAATTGTGAAAGGACTTGTGATTTACTTTTGACTGGCCTCGTGATGAACTTGTCTAAAACACTGAGTATAATAGCAGATTTGATTGAAGTTTCAAGAACAAATTTTCAATCTTTGCCAAGATTTCACAAATAAATTATCCCCTTCCCACCAACCTTCCCGTAGCTTCGAGGAATGCTGCTGGCCGACCACAGTGGGCAACAACGGTAACGATCAGGGTAATGGTCGAGGATGGAACATGGTGTCAACGGTGGACATCTCGCGGCGTCCTGACACGGGTCTGCCCAACAGCCCACCCGTAGCCGGTAGCTTCCCAGTCTACAGGCTGTACAGGGGATGCAAGTACACACGCTACATCAGAGGTAATTAGATTAATGTTGAAATGATTTCCATTGTCCGATTCCGAATGTTGGTGATTTAATCAGAACTCAGTATATGCAGTAAATGGATAGTTCATGTTGGCCTATCAAGAGCCAAATATCGAATTGTATTTAATTGGTGGACCAACTTATACCTCTTGGTTAAAAATAGTTTTGTATGAGCAGTATTTGAGATGCATCTAGAAATGTATGTAGTGGTAAGCCAATCCCAAAATAGGCCAATCCTGTACAGAATATTATGATTTTACCTTTATGAGATGTTTTCAAGAATCCCTGACCGAATCAAGAATATGGGAACCATTTAGTTAACAGTACTTCTACTTTTTCCTCAATTGTAGCTTGGGACGCCGATGGTGATGACCTGCGTTGTCGATGGACCGACCCGAACAGAAATGAGTGCAATGCCAACAACGGAGACATCTGTGGAGAACTTTTTGTCAATTCTGAAAGGACAAAGAAAGGCGCCATCTTGGAAGAGGTATGTACAACATCAATTCTTATCCACGTTTCGTTATATATGAATCTTAATGGAATTTCAATTATGGATTAAGTTTAAAGTGCGAGTTATTGATGATACAAACAACTGCATCAGTGTTTGCAACTGTGAATACTAACAACTACATCAGTGGTACATCAAGTGACCGAATCTTTTTGATAAATTTCCTCCAAATTTGTAGGACACCTGTAAGATTACTTTCAACCGCCGTAACCCAGCCGGCACCTACGCTGTGGCTGTGATGGTCGAGGATTACGCTCCTTCGGACCCCACCACCCCACTGAGCCGAATTCCCGTCCAGTTTCTGATCGAGGTCCATAACAGAGACGGCAAGTGTAGAAAGCCCGAACTACTCGGGGAAGACGGGACTTGTACCACCATCCCCGCCGGCAGGGAGACGCGAATCCCCCTCAGAGCTCGTAGCTCCTCTCTGGACTATGCGTGAGTTTATCCAGTCTTTTTGGCAACTAAAGAATGACTGAGATTTGACCCTGGTTTCTCCAAATATATATCACTTTTTTTTATGAAATTTACCTTTAAGTCCTGTAGGATCAACTAACCCATGATTTGGCAAAAGACGTGTTTTGGTATTTTTTTTTCTAAACTGTTTCCTCCACTTCTCAACTTTGTGTTTGTTTTCCACTGCAGTATCACTTCCTTCGAAACCATCAAGCCATCCGGCGTCCATGTCTCCCCTCTGCGCAGAGTGCACGGATCCAATGATGAATATACAGTGACCCTGTCCTGGATCCCAACCAGGGATCAGATCGGACGTCACGTGATCTGTTACGAGGCCGAGGAAGACCATAAGTTCTCCAGTGACATGTTCTGCATTTATGTCAATGTTGTAGGTGAGAAGAAACACCAATTTCTGTCATTTTATCTGCTTTATTTTTCCACTCCCGTTTCAACTTCAACCATTTAAACAAATCATACTAAATCATATCGGTCTCGAGTCTCTGGAAAACAAAGTAAAGATACCCTATAAAAGAAGACGTATTTCCTTCCTTTTTAAGGTAAACTCTGTTAAAAACTTCCTGTTTTTGCTAAATCCATTTTTCCAGATGCAGCCGACTTTGGTCCGCAGTTGGCAGTTGATCCATATGAGTCTACACCAGCCCCCGGAGCCAGACTAAGAGGGGAAACCGTCACCATTGCATACAGCAGAGAGGTACCAATTATATTTTCGATTATCATTGTCTCTAAAACTTGAGTTTTAACTTTAAAATGACTATTACAAAGCCTGTTATTTTTTTAATGTGATGTTCAGCAACTATAGGACTGCATTTTAATGACAACTTTTTTTAACAGATCCGGAAATCCCCAAGACATGCTTTTATCTCCATCCTTGACGCCAGCAACAACCCCATCTACCAAATCGACTCTTCCTCATCTGAGATCACAGTCAGTGGAAAGACTATGTCTTTCTCCCTACCTTACGATCTTCCACTTCAGAGAGGGGTGGCTTACAAAGTCCGCGTGGATGAAGGGGCTGTGAAGAGTGCTATGGACTGCGAGGCGGCTCCTCAAGGCGACGAGTGGATGTTTGTCTTCGAGTCGTTCTGTGACGGTGACAACTCACCCCTCGTTGTCTCCCCTGTCGATTCTGTGCCCGCTCCAGGAACTGAGATGTTTGGAAATGTTGTCAGTGTCACATACAACAAAAAGGTAAGATATACCTTCTTTGCATAAGTATCTTCAAGTTAGAGGCTTTTGTCATCATCTTTGATTGAGACATTGTTTGAGAAGAAGTTTAAGTTAGGTAATATCTTCAGCAGTTTGATAAACACTATATTTGACCTTTATCTATTAATTATATCTACAGATCCAAAAACCATCAACTAGCGCTTACATCACTATCGTCGATCGCAGAAACACACCCATTTTCAGGATCGACACTTCCACAGCTGATGCGTCAGTCAGCGGCAGAACCCTGAGTTTTTCGGTTCCCCTGACTCTTCCACTGGAATATCAGGGGTGGTATAGGATCCGGATTGATGAGGGTGCCGTGGTGAGTGCTCGGGCATGTGAGCAAGGCCTGCCGCCTATGGCGGAGTGGGACTTCGTCTTCGTCACGTTCTGTAGCGACGAGGAAGTGTATGAACCCCTGACTGTCCTGCCCAGCCAATCAGTGCCATCTCCAGGAGAGAACTTTGCTGGACAAACAATGATGATCAGATACAATAAAGAGGTACGTCCGAATGTTATTATATATCATTATTATCAACAGCTTCATTTTCATACTTTTTTTTCATATCTTAAATTTTGGATAGTATTATTTTTGCCTATCAAAGATAACTATTTTCGTACGTCCATTTTTTTTAAAACATTTGATTTTCCGTTTTCATAATACAGATTCAAAAACCAGTTGACTCGGCCTACATCACGATCTTGGACGCCTTCTACCTCCCCATTCTTCAAGTCGACACGTCCACCCAGGACGTCACTGTCAGTGGAAACACTCTGAGCTTCGTCCTGTCCATGGATCTTCCACTGCAGTTCGGAGGGGGTTACACCATCCGCGTGGACGAAGGGGCCGCGCGAAGCGCCCAAGACTGCGACCTCATCCCCCCTCCTTCGGCCGAGTGGGAGTTTGGTTTCGTCACGTTCTGTGCAGATGGTGGAGATTACGAACCACTTTCAGTCCTGCCTATGGAATCATCCCCTTTCCCAGGAGAAAAGTTTGCTGGAAGACTGATGAAGATTGGCTACAACAAACAGGTAAATTTAACTAAAAATTTAGACTTTCTATTCTTTGTACCAAATCAATAAAGTTTAAAGTATTTGCCATCAGTTGAAATTGCCAAATTCTTATTTCCATTTTATCAATTTTTCTTTTTCATTTCAATTTTGCCAACGTATTTAAACATAGACTGAAACGTTTATACTTTTCCTTTAACAGATCAAGAAGCCCTTTAGACCAGCCTACATCTCCCTCTTCGACTCCGCCGACTCGCTCCTCTTCCAAATCGACGCCACATCTCCCGCTGTTTCAATCGTCGACGGTACCTCCCTCGGCTTCACCCTTCCCTTGGACCTACCCCTCGCATTCCAGGGAGTGTATAAGCTCCGTGTGGACGGCTGGGCGGCCGTCAGCGTTCTGGGCTGTGACGTCTCAAGACCGGACAGCGCAGAGTGGCGTTTCACCTTTCTGACCTTCTGCGAAGATGGAGGTGATAGCTTTGAGCCGTTGGCTGTCCTGCCCATGGAATCACTCCCGAGGCCCGGTGGAAATATCACTGGATATGAACTCAAGATACAGTACAACAAACCGGTAAGTTCTATTTGCAGTTTCTAACCCGACACTGCCATTTGTTAAAACGCCACTTTGAAATGTCAAGATGACTATTCCATTTAAATATCCTTTTAAAATTCCCGTTACCTCAAGTACTACTTGTTATTAATTCACCATGGAAATTGTTTGGTACCAATAAAGAATGTATCGTGAAGAATATTTGCTTGACTTGAACTCGTTATCTTATTTGATCACATAAACAGATTCAGAAGCCTACGTCACCTGCCCACGTCAGGATCTTGAACTCAGAGGACTCGGCCGTCTACGAGGTGGATACCACTTCAGATGAAGTCACTATCGAGGGCAGCGCACTGAAGTTCTCACTTCCAGCCGCCGCGGCTGTCTTCTTCGGATCTGACTACAGGGTCATGGTCGACCAGGGTGCGGCAAGAAGCGCCTTAGAGTGCGATACTACGCTGTCTGACACGGCCGACTGGCGTTTCAAGTGGACTGGTAAGTTTGGGTTAACGTTTGGTCAAATTGGTACCTTTTGGTAAAACTTGATCTCTTGGTATAAATGCCGTTAAAGGAACCGCAGTGGTTATGTTTTCATTTGAAGTTGATTTTGTATTAGATGCACAATGCGAAACTGTCCTTATTTGTTTGATTCTTATTTTTTGTCCTATTTTTTTCTTCGTACAGGTCGTAGATTGCCAGGGGAAATCATCGATAAGCCTGTGGTTAGCACTTCACCGCATGGTAACGCAGATTGCAGGGAAAACTTCATGCAGACCTTCGTGTCCAAACGCTTGGTGGGTGAGATTGATCCAGCATCCATGTACCTGAATGACAAGAGCTGTACTGGGAGACATTACAACAAAACTCACTACGTCATTGGGACGTCATACGATGCCTGTCAAACAGAGCCTGAGGTAATTAATGTTAATAACTTGATTCTGGCAAGAAGAACGATTAGCTGAAGTGGTTGGGAATTCATTTGCAAGCATACAAGATTCATCCGGCTAGAGACTCTATTTACTTTATCCCTTAGTTAAGTTTTAAACAGTTTTCATTGTTTCTTTGTCTTTTAATTAGGTTACGGCGAATGGCAGAAAAATGGCCTTTAGGAACGTCGTCTTCATCCCACCTCAGCCTTACACTCCCGGCAGCGAGATCACGCGAGATCACTTCATCGAGATCCACCTGACCTGTCACGTGCCGACCGATAGGGTCAGCTACTTGTCCTTTGACCCCAACGTCACCACTATTGTGTACTACGAGGAAGGCTACGGCAACTTCAACTTCTCCCTAAAGATGTACGAGGATGAGAGTTACAGACGGGCCTACCGGCCCAGGGAGTTCCCCGTAGGGGTCCAGCTCAACCAAGCCATGCACTTCGAGGGCCGTGTGACCTGCAACGGGGACTGTGACCTCATGATTGACACCTGCTGGGCCACGCCTACATCCAACCCCTTCGATCTCACCCGGTTCCCGTTTATAACCAATGGGTATGTATTAAAGCTTATATCAAAATATGTATTGGGCTTGACATTTTAAAACATTACAGCCATTTCAAATTGTATAGTCTTGATGACTTGTTTTTAGAGAAAGGGAATTTTTCTGTCGTCATAATTTCGACAATGGTATTCATAAATGTCATATTTGTTTTTAACTTCAGATGCCCAATTGACGACACAGTTGCGCTGCTGGACTCCCCCTCAAGTCAAAAGGAACGATTTGCAATTAACTCCTTTGCTTTCTTGGGCGACAACATTCATGGAACGGTAAGTAATGAGAATAGTAATGAGACAAATCACATATCATTTTTCTGAAAGACCTTCGTGATCAGTGTCTCATTTTATCGAAACCAAACATTTTAACTGTGCGACAATTTTTCGCATTTCAGGTATACGTGCACTGTGACATGAGGATCTGTGACGTCAATGACCCCAACTCCAGATGCACCATGGGATGTGACTCTGAGGACCAATCACCTACCGAGGCGCAATCTGAAGATAACAATGAGCTCCGCCCAGAGGCACCTAGCCGAGGTGACGTACCGCACAGTGAGCTAGTGTTTGGACGCGGTAAACGTGACGTCAGCAGAGTAGGCTCCTCGTCAGCCGCTTATCCGAGCACTGGTGGCCAGCTGAGATTGGGTGGTGAACAAATTGGTAAGTAGTGGATTTTACAGTGCAGTTAAATATCAAAGTTTTTAAGTGAAAGTGTTGAATTACTCACAGCACTCGGTGCTTTTCAAGGAGAAAATGTCAGTTTCTTGTTTTATTCAATCTTTGCCAAGCTCACTTCACCAAGTTACTCCACCAATCTATTTGATTGTAACCATTATATTTGTTGTCTTTTTGCCGACAGATGTCAAGTCAAACCAAAGTTTGGCCGTCAATCCAGACGTTGTGGAGATCGCAATGTTAGGAGCCATTATGTTGCTGTTGCTCGTTCTTGTGGCCATGCAGTGCAGACGGACAACTCGGGCGACCGGAAAAGCGTCTATGTCAGACGTGTAATCATTACGCCCTATGTGGTCAGTGAAGGCCGGTTGTATCTTCGTATTATTTCAGTGTATCTGATTCAAATATGTATACAAAGTACATTTGTGAGTATTAATTAGAAATGTTGTGTTCAGTACCTGCAATATTATTTGTTCCAAATGTCATGCATCGTTACCAAAACAGTATTTTGTAATAATATATTTGTGATTTTACTCTGTGCACGTTTAATGCAATGTTGAAACTTAATACAATTTTTTCATATTTTCCTGTGCATTTTATCGTGTCAAGGCCGGTTACAGTGTCTACAACATTTTAAGGAAATGCAATTCTAATTTTCAGACTCCACATCTTCTGGTTTAAGGTTTTACGCATGCTAGATTCATTGAGATTTTAATATCAATGTTGCAATATTTAAGTTTTTTTTCTTTTCATGCTTCAGGAATTTTATAAATTGTTGAGACGTTATAAATTTAGAGTTATAAAGTGTATAGTTCTTAACTGTTTTCACCGTTACTTCATTGTGATTTCAACGGGGTATAGATATCAGTATTATGCTACAGCAGAAGTATTATGCTATCAAAATTATTGCAACAAATTTAACCTGTCTTTCGATTGCTATTTCGGCGGGAATATCTGTCAAATTTGTTTATTTTTTGTGAAGAAAAAATCGTTCAAAGACAAACTGAGCTTCTTGGAAAAGCAATAACAATAATTTGATACTGATTTAAAATAATTTGCTCGATCGGTGTTATAAGTCGATCGGTGTTATGGTGATACGCTTTAGAAAATGACGTGCGACAAAATTGATATCCATGGGCAGAAGTAAGATTGTTCGTCACCGAAAAGCTTTGATATACTTTCAACTGCTGAAAAACCAAAGCGAAAACTGTTAACATTATAAGCTAGATTTGTAAATATTTGAATGTCGACAATTGTGGTGCAAGCATTATTGTACTTCGTGTAATTGTTGAGACCAAAGTTTAATTGAGTTCAGTTTAAGATAGCATCGAGCGATTGTTTCACACCTTGACCAATGCTGCAATTAATATATGACACTTAATTTGTGCAACTTTCACGGTTTTTTTCTGTAAAGTTGAAATAATACCAAATGTTAGCATTAATGGTGATTTATTTTAATGAATATATAAGCAGTCGCAAACAATGCAATCAGTATTTGATCAAGATTTGTACATAAACATTTTGTATTCTCGCTATTCTGTGTATATTATAAAAGCCTTGCCGTTTGTACAGCTGATTACATAATTATTGAGCTTTTTCATCTAAAATAAAAATGAATGGAAAAAAAGAAAGAACAACAATGAAAACTGTTTTCCTCTTTTTGCGTCTTAATGTGGCAATATCATGTGGGAAAAAAAGAAAAGAAAGTATGAAAGTGTGGCTCTGTTTTCATTACAACAATTATTTTTGGTGGAAATATACGTGAAATATTGTCTTAAAAGTAAAACCATTTTGAGGAAAAACTTACAAATTCTTATGTGGGTTCCACCGGGCACTGACTCTGTTTGAAAGTTCGGCATGCATCTATCTGAGCTGGAAATCGAAGAAAGCATTGTGAAAAGGAGCTGCTAGACAAGTGACAATAATTTGATGCTGGCTATGAACACAGAAAATAAGGCGAGGTGCTTTTAATGGGGGGGGGGAACTAAATTCTTGTGTCTGTCGAGGCTTCCCAATGGTGGATCTAAAGGGGGTTACAGGCGCTGATCCGCGGGGGGGGGGGGGGGGGGGTCGAACACCCCCCCCCCTGCTCTGACACCACACACACACGAACACACACACACCCACCCACCCACCCAGACTTGTTTCACATACCTAGTGTGGACTTTCCTTTCTTTTCGTGTAGTTAAGGAACACCAGTGGAAAAACTCATTTTTCTCAAACTGTGAAAACTCTTACAACCCAATTTTTTTTCAATGATTCCCTTTAGTGTTTCTCTTCATTCTGCTACGGATAAACCTAACCCAAAAATGCCTCTAAACCTGTTTTCCAGAAATGGGGAAACACTGTGTGGACGTGGGCAAGTCCACACTTCGTCGCTGCTACCTACATTATGTGGACGTCTTTTGTTCGGAAGTCCACACTGCGTATGTAAGACAAGCTCACCCCTTCACACACACCCACACACACACACAAAACAATTCTAGCAATAAGTGCACCCGGTAACAATGTGCTGCATTGCCTATATATCCGCCTGTCCGCAACAATCGAACATAAAAAAAAATCTGACGGGCCTGAGCCCGGATCCACCCCTGCGTTAGGTGTCACCCCTCACCACACCCCTTGGGGCGCAAACATAGGAAAATCTTGCAGAAAAACATGCCTGCCAACACACCCCTCTCTTTGATACGTAAACCGAGAATCAGTACTAAACCAATATGGATCTGTGTAGGCTAGGCCTATACGGGGTAACTTGTATAATAATCCACATATCCCCTCAATAGATTCTTCATTCGGCACGAAATATGTTCCCTATACATATAGAAACGTCCAAAACGCGATTAAAGTCTTTTCAACTTTTGAAATCTTATATCTACAATTTGTTTTGTTGAGAAAATGTTATCCCCACTCCCCTGCCAAAACATCTAGCCCCTGATATACAACTGCTAACGACAATTTGAAAGAGAACGAAACACTTTCTTCAATTTATGAAACACTTTCTTCAATTAATCAGTTTAGGCAGAGACTTTTATCGCACACTCGAGAATGTCATTTTCTTGGTTGTGTACATTATAACAAAATCGTAGACAGGGGAAGATCGGACAGTCAGCTGAAAAAAAAGTGAAACAGAAAGTATTTGCTCAGAGGTCATGATGGGGAAGGGCGTCCCTAGTGTTAGGTAGGTAAACAGTAGATTTATTCAATGCACTCAACGTGATAAATTAGTTGTGCAAAGCCGCTAAAGTATTTGTTCTTTGGTAAAATCATGCAGATATGTAATATTTTAAAGTAGTTTAATCTCTGATTAATAGCACCACTCACGAGATTCATAGGGGTAATGCCTGAAGTGCCTACAACAATAATTTTTGACGGTGTAGAGTATTATGCTGATGAGCTTACCGTATACAGGAACATGATTCACAGTTGTGGTTGGCAATATCATAAACAATTTCCGCCCAAATCTTTCCACTTTTCACCATGTGTATTATTGTTTATTGCTTATTCTCGACAGGATTAGGTTCAAGTTTATAAACAGTACATTTTTTTTTAATTAAGGGAATAAATATGTCGTTTGCCGATATTAAAGACTATGTTTAAGACCGTGTTGGGGTCTGGACACTAATAATAACCCGAGGAGGGCATCATCCAACAATGGATGACCACAGCCTGATGATGGGGATGATGGGGATTGGGATGATGGGGATGATGGGGATGATGATGATGATGATGGATAAAACACCCTGCGCTCAGTCAGGGTCACACGCAAATGAGGACATATGCATAATACGCGAGAGGGAAAATCCCGTACCCTTACATTACATTGGCCGGTCCCTCCCCCTCCCTAGCCCAGGTTGGACTCCGTTGTGTACACGCATAGGCCATGAACAATAATACAGGTTGGACGACATCTTCATTGCATTACGTCAGTCGTAAAGCAATGAAGACGTCGTCCAACCTGGGCTACCCCCTTCCCAATATCTTAAATGTAATTGTTGATAAGCATTGCTAAATCTCAATATATATCCATTGACAGTTTTTTTTTACCCTTTTATTCATTTATTCCTTCATTCAAATATTCTTTTACTCGTCTGTTCATTCGTTCATTTCGTCATTTTTTTAACAGTTGTCTTTCTCCTTCATCAATGAAACTCCCGCTCACATTTCATACCCGATATTGCATGATTTACGTCTAGATTCTGCCTAGATTCACATGCTTTTACCTGCCTAACGCTAGGGGCGCCCATCCCAATAGGCCAATTTGATGACGTCATCGTGTTTTATAGGTCACTGTACAAAAAGATAGCACTGTCCGATCTTGCCCTCATGTATACGATCATTGATCATGGTATGGTACGTGACTGCACGCGGCTGCAAGGATTTTTGTGAATGGGTGTTTGGTAGTTCCGGGCCCACTTGTCTGGACAGCTTGTGGTTGGCTGCTTGCTGAGTTCTGTCTATGCATTATGCAGCAGACTTCCAGTTCGTCATGGCGTCCAGCTGATACAATTGGTTGTTCGCCCCACAGTCGCGCCAACTTCCGTCGCGTCATCACCTTCCTCATCTCCCAGTTGGTTCCTCGAAACTAATTCGATATTCATGAGCCCACTCGTCAGTTACTATGGAATGCGGCTGCACGAGACCTAGACAACGAACCAGACGACCAGAAAATTCAAGTGGAAAGAAAAGTGATATGTTTTGTCGGGCTCAAACACCTACGTAAATAATAAACAGTCTTCCGGTGGTTATGATCATAACTTTTGCTGGGCAGGTGGTCTGGAGTGGTCACTGGCAAAGGGTATATAAGGCTTCGGTGGTGACAGGTAAGGGCAGAACAAGCGTAGACACCAAACAGTGCAAACTGAAGTGACAGTGAGACTAAAACACTCAAGAATATAAAACACTCTCCATATCGCTGTGACAACTTGACAACGTGCAGCATTTTTTGGAAAGTAAAAAGAATTGTCATTTGCAGCGGTTCAAAGCCACCACCATGAGGCGTGTTTTGCTTCTTGTCGTCTGCTTAGCAAGCTCGTTCATCGAGCCTGCAGTCAGCAGGAATGTTGGACATTACAAAGGAGGCTCCATCACATGGAAAGCAGACGAGGACAACCCGAGCAACGTAAGTAATTCAAATTTTGGTGCACGAAACTGATCAAGTTTGCTGACTTGATGACTACCAGTACCACAGTATAAAGTTTACCTTCGATGATTGAACACGGCAGTACAAATGCTCACTGCAGTATTTTTGTTTTCTCCATCCAGGTGGTCGTATTTTACCGTCTCAACTTCAGACACCATTACGAGAACGGCTACCTCCACACGCAATGCACCGACCAGGCTGTCCAGGACAGGTCGGTGCTGAACACCGAGGGATCGTTCCGAGTTGACGGCCGGTGGATCTCTTGGGCCAAGTACATATGCACGGACTATGACGATGAAATGGACTGGTCGGCTGGATACTTCATCATGCCGTACACGCTGGAGCCGGGTCAAACTAGAGTCGATGTCAAGTAAGAAACAATCTTTAAGTTTGTCCTGAATTTCATTTGGTCAAAACTTGTATCCGTTGTTTTTCGTCTTCAACACTGATTGCATTCTAGCAGTTGAATTTTTTCGTGCTAAGTCATCAGATATACTCAGTGTTGTAGTCGAATCCATCACAAGTCCTCACAAGTCCTCACAAGTCCTCACAAGTCCTCACAAGTACTCCAGTCTAGAGGCAAGTCACAAGCTCTATTCAAATGACTGTGACAAAAATATTTCCAAGTTATTGTTCTCCCCGTATTACTTTAATTATATTTAGTGACCCGAATTGTGAAAGGACTTGTGATTTACTTTTGACTGGCCTCGTGATGTACTCGTCCACCACACTGAGTATAATAGCAGATTTGATTGAAGTTTCAAGAACAAATTTTCAATCTTTGCCAAGATTTCACATATAACTTATCCCCTTCCCACCAACCTTCCCGTAGCTTCGAGGAATGCTGCTGGCCGACCACAGTGGGCAACAACGGTAACGATCAG